TTATTTCAATCTCAAATAGAAGATGGCAAAATAACTTTATAAAAGAGTGATTACCTTTTGTTGAAACAAACTGTGATAAAATTTATCTAAATCCTAAATCTAAGATGTAATGGTTTCCATTGCTTCACGAGCTTTTGGAGCTTAACATCGTGGTGCTTACAGCTTGTTTATCAAATCTAAGGGTAAAGTTCAAGAAGATAATGTTATTCACAAAACTATGTTGTGCTTTAAGTGGCGGAAAATCATACAAATCAGTTAATTAAAAAAAGGCGTAAAATATCTATATATGAGCCGCATTATCCTAATAGCACTAACATATTTGATATCTAATTAACCTTTAACCTTACATACTCTGAAATGCAGCTGGCAGGTTATTTATTTACCGATCCCCAAAAGACAAAAGAAAACTGAAACCAACTTCCACTTATGATCTTGTAAATACAGTCGAGCTATATTTAACTACCATTTATTAAAGCTATTCAAACAATACAGTCTGATAACGATTGCTTGAGGTCCGCAATCTACGGGTCGCGGGTTCGAATCCCTATCACACCAAACATGCTCGCCCTTTCAGCCGTGGGGTCATTATAATGTGACGGTCAATCCCATTATTCGTTGGTAAAAGAGTTGGCGGTGGGTGATGATCAATAGCTGCCTTCCCTCTAGTCTTACACTGCTAAATTAGGGACCGCTAGCGCAGATAGCCCTCGTGTAGCTTTGCGCGAAATCCATAACAAACAAACGATTGCTTGAAAGCGCGTCAACATAAAATAAAAAGAAAACATTTGATGGGATTTACAAATTAATCGAAATTTTAGAATTTTTTGTATTTTATATTTTTTATAAAGACAAGTTTGTTTTACAAATCAACAAGAACTGTGCCTTGTCTATTTCAGAGGAAAGATAAGATTGCAAGCAGGACATTGTAATGTGTGTGTATTTAATTTCGAGATAAAATCATGCGAATAAAGTTAATTATAAGTAAAAAATGGATATTTTAAAGTGACATAAAATTTCTATAGTTTGTTTTCGCATCGGGTGATGTCCACAAGTGTAGTTTAAACAACATATTGAACAAAGCTATGAACAAAAGAGCTTTTTATACAAAATAAAATATAACGTGTAGGTCTGGAATTATCCTTCAGTATTATAAATACAAAACTGACTCGTTTTCTTTTACCTATAATTTAATAGCACAAATCTTTGTAAATGTAAAGGCTATTACTTACTTAAAAGTTGCTTTGCAAGTTTTATGCTTTTTAATTGGTGAATTTTAATTATTTATCACATGGGCATGCGTGCGTGATGTTCAAGTTAAAAATTAGCTCCACTCCTCTATAATAGTGAAGGAGTCGTCAAGTTAAAAATTAGCTCCACTCCTCTATAATAGTGAAGGAGTCGTCAAGTTAAAAATTAGTTCCACTCCGCTATAATAGTGAAGGAGTCGTCAAGTTAAAAATTAGCTCCACTCCTCTATAATAGTGAAGGAGTCGTCAAGTTAAAAATTAGTTCCACTCCGCTATAATAGTGAAGGAGTCGTCAAGTTAAAAATTAGCTCCACTCCTCTATAATAGTGAAGGAGTCGTCAGTTTCAAAAGTCCCAAAAGATCAAAACTTTACCTTCCTCCACCGGCTGGCTCAGCGGTAAGTCTGAGAGTTTATAACTCTAGATCTCGGATTTTGATACCTGCGACGGGCAGAGCACAGATATCCCCTTTGTATAGCTTTGTCTTTATCAATAAACGAATCAAAAGTTTCACAAAGTCTGTATACTTAACACTAGTCTCTGCTCAGAACACCGTCAAACTGGCACGATGAACATCCGCTATTTTACTCATTAAGCTAAAAGCCTGTATTTTTTTATAATTCAGTAATAACAGCTTATTTGTTTTATTATTATTATTTCGTTTTGATTTCATTTAATACATGGCTAAACGGGTATTTTCAATTTCAAAATTATTTTACGTTTTATTAAACTGTGAACGACGGTTATATTAGCCAAAATAATGCTTTTATTTTTAAACTATAAAAATGTAATTTATTCGCTGTGATGTTAAAGCTAATATCAGTACTTCATGCTTTACCAAGAATTGCTACGTACATTAGCTTTGTCTAATAGAATGTAATAAGATAGAGCAAAATCTATTTTACATCTTAAGTATCAGATTAGCTCGTGCAATCCGAACTATTCAAATTCGAAAGTAATCATCCAAATAATGGTGTTATCTGTTAACTGAAGAATATAACAATTGTATACAAACATTGTAATTTATCAGTATCTAGATGAATCTAATTCAACCAACATATTTTGACTGAGACATTTTCTAAAAACGGTTAAAGCAGAGATACCACGCATTATTTGATCTC